GACTTATAATCCTTATACTACTTTGCACATTTAAATCGTCTCTTATACATTACTATAACTTTTAACTAAAAAAATAGAATCTCAGTCTAGTTTAAGTTTTCAAAAAACTATATATTCTGATAAAAGCAATAGTGATAGTGATAATAATAATAATATAACTCCCTCTATAAATGTGTTGGCTAGTAATAAAAAAAAAAAGAATAAAAAAAATAAATCGATTTTTGTGTGGAAGTATTTTAAAGAAATCAGAACAGAAGATGTGTATCAAGTTATGATTAAAAAAATGGTGTAGACAAAAAGTGCGAAAAGAAGTATATTCATGATAATTTAATATCGAATATAATCGTTCATCTACAATCTTATAATATCATGGATAGCAAAAAGTTAAAACCTGAAAAACTACAAAAATGACAAGCTACATTATCAGCAATGATCAAATCTAATACTAATACTCTATATAAAGGTGAAAGATAAAAAGAAATAGTAAAGAAGTTATTGAATCTAAAGGCCAAAAAAAATGAGATATATGTACATGCATATGACGTACCATAAAAGTTCAAATATATAGTAGACCTACTATGAATTAGACTCAGGCATGAACTATGAAATCTTTATTAATTAAATGCGGTTTTTTTCAAATAGCCAGAATACCTATTATAAATACAAGGTGTATAAGCACTTTAAAATTTTTTTTTCATATTATAAGGTACTAGACTCTGGGTTTTGTATATAAACTTTTACAGGTACGCTTGATTTATATTTGGATAACTTAGGTTACCTGAGTTATTTGGTTTATTTAGGTACCCCAGTTTATAACCTGGTATTGATTATTTATACAGACAGGTAATCCGGAGATAAAATTTTTGATAGGTACAATCTCTAGTATGTACGTGTTCTAATTTTTTATATATACAAACCTGTAATAGGTAGTATTTATGTTTTGATCATTTATAGCATAGGTAAAAACTTTTGTGTATAGAATTTTAACACCTGTTATTATTTATAAGATATACAAATAAATATTCTGTAACTTAAATTTTAATTTTATTTTGTGATTTATTTGATATTAGATGTGAACTTAAGTTCACAGATGCAGTAATCACATGATACTAAACCATATTTTTATTGATTAAAATGAATTATCCTGGCTATTACATATTTAATCTCTTTTCAACTTAATTTTGATATAGATGATGCTAAAAATGTTTTAATACTAACTATTATTTCTTTTCCTCTATCTTTAAAAATACTATTAAAAAGAGTATATATTTTCTACATCTTTTTGGTTCTTTTACGAAGAGTATCATTAGAAATTTTTTCACCAATTTGTTCTTGAACCTCTTCATTAACTAATGCTTGAGATGCTAAATCTTCATATTTCAAATTTTTATAATAATTTATGCATATTGATAAACTATCCCCAAAGGAGTAATAACACTGAATGAGTTCCTAATTTGTGTTTTCATTTTTGGATTCTACATAGATAATATTATCATTAAGTTGTAAAAAATTCGTAGCATTTTTATTATATGTTACATTAACTTTTGAGATTTCAGAAGCATCAGTAATCAATTTGCTTATAAGTTTTTTTAATGTAGATAAATCTTCTTTTTTAACTTGCTTTCTTGCTTTCTTACTTGATGACTTATTACTAGCATCACTAATATACTTTTTCTGTATTTTACTCTCAATTAATATTGGATTATTATTGTGACTACTTTCTGTCTCACAAAGTGGAGTCTTTCTGATCTAATAATGGTGATATAGCCATTGGAGAACCTAATCCAAAGTCATCGTCTAACATTTCTGCAAGAGCAAAAGTTCTACTAGACTGAGATGATGATTCGGAAAACCTTTATTCAAATACTACTGGATCAATAATTTTATTACAATCAAATAAAGGGCATTTGTTTTCTGCTATAAGTAAAAATTTTTTTTTCTATATATTTTTTATGATATATATGTTCACATAAAAATATTGTAAATGATTCGAAATTAACAAATAATATTTTGTTTTCATATAGTTTATATGGTAGCAATTCTGTAACAATAATATCTTATACTATGTTATATTTTGTTTCTTTTAAAATATTAAGAGCGAAGTTTTGGAGATTAATAAGAGACATAATAATAATGAGATATCAGATAAGTTTTTAATAACGAAATTACTTATACTTAGCTTTTTTATATAGTTTATTTCTCACGACTAACAAACTTAACTTGCAGATTTTATGAAAACTAATTTTGGGTTTGATGATCTGTTTATTTACAAATTAATTAGTATGAATATGGATCACTTAATCTACTAGCAATCATGAATAATTAGTGAAGAAAAAAGTTATATACTTTATAGATTTTTATTTTATTTCGACACTACCAATTTATAAGAAAAAATATTAATATAAAATCTATCACTCAATTATAATCTCAAGAATAGCATTAGGAAAATGGTAAAAATTTTAAGTCTCATATATATGAAGACCCAGTGAAAATCTTCTGAACTTATACCAAAAACAACTAGATTGCTATTGCTTTGAGTATCTGTTCTATTTCATTATTTGACTTTTCACGATTTTTCTTTTTAGCTATATGATAATAAAGCTTATATAATTCCTCTAAACTACTATAAAGATTATTATCTTTATATCTTTTGCAATAATTTTTTAGCCTTTCAGTATATACTTCTTCTTTAGAAAATATCTTTACTGTAAGTGTCTTAATATAGTTATTTGAATCTATTTCAGCTCGCAGTTTCTTTAGATAGTCCCCATAATTTTTTACAAGATTATCATATTTTCTACCTTTCACAATGCTGTTTTTATGACTTTAACTTACGCAAGTTCTATTTTCTTATAATCAACCATTTTTTGTATGCTTCTACTATAGCAAAAGAAAAACTTTAATTAATGGAAAATTTTTTTATCCAAAAAAATATTTGTTATAAAACATCTATATCTTGACATGAAGTTTAGCTTTCATAGTCTTTTCTTCTGCTTCCCCAAGAGATATTTCAGATACTATCCGGTATTTATATAATCTAATTCGCTAATGTCCATAGGGAAGAGTTCGAATTCCATCAAGTAAGATCTAGCATTTGTTATCATATAGATTTAACCCTATTTTATTCACTCTTTCCAGATATATTTAATGATTATAACTGCAAAAACCATACATGTCATGCTGAGTTAGTTTCTTATTTCTAAAATATTCTAGAAATTTATTATACCAAAGCTTCCTTTTGACCACATATTTCTTTACACCTTTTGCCTTTTGAATACCATGCTTCTTTTTAGAGTCTTCAGAATCTGAGTCATCAGGAGTTTTAGAATCATATCTTGCTAGAAGAACTGAGTACATCTTTGGCTTTAAATATACCATTTTCTCTATTGGTATGTCCTTTGTCTTATCCTTTATTAGAAATAAATCACCTGAATAGTTAAGATCAAAAATGTCTGGCCTTTTTGCTTGATTACAAGTAAAAATAAGATAAATAAGCAAATTTATTTATTTTAAACAAATATTCAAATAAATAACAATAAGCATGCTGATTAAAGTTTGATTTAAACAAATTTAACAAAATTTTTAATTGTTTATTGCTCTTAGATAATGGCTTCAATAAGCATAAAATAAATCTGCAATCAGAATATTTATTTGAAATAATTTGTCTTATTTAATTACTAATTAATAAATTTATTACAATTAGTAATTTACTGATTATAATAAATTTATTAATTAGCAATTAAATAAGACAAATTATTTCAAATAAATATTCTGATTGCAGATTTATTTTATGCTTATTGAAGCCATTATCTAAGAGCAATAAGCAATTAAAAATTTATTAAATTTGTTTAAATCAAACTTCAATCAGTATGCTTATTGTTATTTATTTGAATATTTGTCTAAAATAAGTAAATTTGCTTATTTATCTTATTTCTACTTGTGGATCTTTATATATGTCTTCAGTTTCTATTCACATGATAAGTGAGTCTATATCTGTATAAAGTAGACAGGCTTTATCTCCATAGTGAGGCTTTATGTAACCATACCAAAAGTTAAACATTATGGCCTTGCTAATATCAAGAATTGCCTGTTCTATATAGATTAGTTTATTTAGTGTTACTGTGCTCTTTAATATATAGACTGCTGTAATGTCTTCCTCAAATTGCTTGAAGCCTACAAATAATAGCGAACTTACTAATTGTTTAATTTTTTTATTCTCTTCTGTTTGGAGTAGTTCTACTTTCATATGTTTATAAATATTCTCCATCTGCTTGCCAAAGACTGCATTATTTTTTAGCTTATAATACATAACCTCAAACTCATCCCTATTTGCCTTGGCTATTTTGTATTTATGAATATTTTTCTCAATATATTCCTTCATCTATGGAGACTATCTAAACTTGAGAGCACTATGAATCTTTGTAACCTTTATTCCAAGCTTCATATATGTCTGGAGAGCTCGGTAATGAACTATATAATTTTTCTTAGTAAAAAGGGTCTAAACTAGCTTTTTTTAGATACTTATTTCCCTTCTCTAATATTTTATCATGTACTAACATTTCATTATATAGACTAAGCCAGTTTTCTGATATTATCTGCTTTTCTGGTGCTAAAGAATAATCTGCAAAGTAATCATACAAGTGTACTAGAACTTCTAAATCAACTTCAAGTATATAGTCTATTTCTGCATCTGGTGCAATACTTTGGATATCAGATACTTTCTCTAGACTTACCTTATCTAGGATTTCTGTAGGTATATATTGAGTTATTGCACCTGAATATAAAGCATTCATATCTTTATATAAGATTCAGGACTTCAGCTTGCTGAACTCATAGTTTGAATATTGCAGATTATTTGCTTTGGCATATCTATGATATACTATTGTCATTTTTTCACAGATTTCATCTTCAACTATCAGATAATTATCCTTATCTGTTATGAGCTTAAGTTCCACTTCGCTACTTTTGTATAGAGAATTATTAAACATTCCAGGTGCAGAGATATAGTAAGATGAATCTAAACTATTATCTTTGAGATACATTATGGTATAATTCATAAAAATATCTGTAAGTAAAAGTATATTAGTTTCAAGATAAAGATCATGATATTCTCCAAAGTTCTTCATCTTGAATATTTGTCATACTATTTGTGCATATTCATAATCTTCTTTACTAATATTTTGCTGACTAAGAAGTAAATAGAAATCCTTTTTAGACAGGAGGCTTGTTCTGTCGAATTTTTTCTATACATTTGTTCAGTTATATAGAAAGATGCTCTTTCGAAAAAGAAGCTTAATCTTGTCTATTGAATAGTCTTTTTTAGTAAAATACTTAATATTTAGCGGTAGTGTTTCTATGAACTGAACTAAACTGAACTTTTAGCCAAGTTCAAGTTCAGTTCAAAATTAAAACTGAACTTGAACTTTTTTTAAAAAAAGTTCAGTTCAGGTTCAATATTGAACTTTTAAGTCAAGTTCAGGTTCAGT